TATATATATATAGAGATATTTTTCAAAATGAATATTTACTGGAATAGTGGAGAAGCAAATGCAGCGATGGAAGATGGAGGTGTACAGGCATTGCGGGCTCAAAAAGCTAGGTAGGGGTCACCTTTTTGGGTCTCCATGATATAGATTATCAAATTTTTGGGTCTATACTTGGGTCCCGGAAACTACCACATTTTGATGGGTGTAGTACTTTGGTTTTGGATGTGCGGGACCTACTCCGAATTCTTAGTATACAATCTCCGGTTTGGCGGGTCCAACGCATTTTAGCTTGCTTGGGCGGCGGAAAGGCGATTCGGGTGCTGGGGTCTGGGTCAGGTTATGACGAGTTGAAAGCCCCTCAGATTGAGAATAGGTTTTCTTCGTTGTTTTGTGTCGCCCGCCCAGCCCCGCAACGGACAATCGGGCGGGAGGGGGGCAGATTGTGCAGACTGCTGCACCAGGGTTGCCAATGTTGTGTGCGTAAGCAGTCCCCGATGCTGTAATTAGCTAGCATATCTAGCTTGGTGATATCCTCAGCCTTCGACGCAGTATCTCAATCACGCTGTGCTCGCATTGCTAAACCCCAAGCCCTGCTATACGATTTTGCCAGCGCGCTTTTGGCAGGCTTTCTATCGCGCCTGGCACCCCAAGTCCCTAAACCGACTGGTTGCAAAGTATGGGCGAAGGCCAATTGGTAGAGAATCATGGTGTGCCAGGCCTTTGTCCGCTGCCGCGAAGATGACTTTCTTGCTGAAAATACAGCAGGAGCAGCAGGCCTCGAGAGTGGAACAGCAAACTAAGCAGACGGGGGAGTGTGGGAGTCTATGTGCTACATGTTGTAATCCCCTCCCCTGAAGACTGCATCTTCCTCCGAGATGCAGTGAGGTTATGGGGATGAGGGGATGAGGGTGGTACTGTTGACGGCAATAACCCTATATGACCCACTTCTACCATGAAGCCATAATTCCCAATGTATAAGGTACTTAGGGTCATACAGAATATTAAGACTACCGGGATGGGGCGGGACTATTAGAGGGAAGGGATTAGATATGGGACACTTTTCAGCTTTCAAAGCTAGATTGGGTCTGGGTTCCGAGCTTCAGGTCCCTTGTAACGATGTAGGCTGAAGCGTATTCACAGTTCTGGAGGGAATTTCATGATTTGTACGGAGACTGGCTGATCTCATGCGCCCCCTGGGTTCGAAGACTTGTTTTGAGTGTTTCATCTCCAAAAAAGAGCAGAACTCCAGCACCAGTCACGCGTTGTTCCTTCTAATTCAACAAGGCCCTAAGAGCATGACCGCTAAACCCCAAACCCTAAGCCTTTGACAATATTCACGCCTCGCACCCCGGACATTTGTTGTATTCTCTATCCTTGATAAGCACCAGCAACCAGACCCTAAAGCCCTATATATGCCAACATATGCTTGCATAGCCTTATATTTGAGGATATATCCTCGTGTATCCTGGCATATCCTTATACCGCATATCCCTAACTGTCTCTGAGATTGTGGGGAGCTCCTGCTGGCAGACTCCATCTGGCTGCAGGAACGAGATACTATAGAATAATGTCCATAGTAAGGTATATATAGGTTATAGGGATTCTCTAGGGATAACGGGAAAGAAAATGGAAACTATTGTGTTGTAATAAGGTATATACAGGGCTTATATATGGATGTAGGAAAGACTCATAGAATCCCAATCAGGACTCCCCACAAGAGCTCACACAATTCCTGAAAGACTACTTAGTCTCCGATGGATCCCATTTTGCAAAACTCCCAAAAGTGTTTCAAATCTAAACCCCTAAACCCAAAAGTGTTCCTGGTGTTTTGCTGAAGTCTGAGCCCTCCCTGCGCGACCCTGACCAAGGCCCAAAATCCCAGCTGGATCGCACCAAAATGTGGCCTACAGAAGCTGGAATATCATCCTGTTTGCTTGTACTCCTTAATCCGTGTGGCACATTCTATGCCCAAACCTTGTGAGCACTTGGCACTCGGGGAATCCTTCACGCTCGGGACTAAGTTGTTTAGGAGCTACTTGGAGAGTTTAACCCTTCGGCTGCGAGGTTAGCTGGGGTCATTATATGGCTTTGTAGGGGATGAAAGGAAGCTTACTAGGTCCCTGTGGCCCTCCAATACTAGGTCAAACACTTTTGCCGCTGAGCGCAGGACAAGCACAGCGAGGAGTACAAACAGAAGGCTCTTCCTTGCTGGTATTGCTTAAACTCTTGCTGCCATTTTTTTTGATTAGCCATCGGAAAGATTCAGCCCCCACCAACTACGATAAGTCTGAAGAGCACATGGGTTCTTACCATTTTTACAGTCATCAGCGTATCGCCAGTTTTGCTACCTCGACGACTACTCCTCCTTATCATCCTCTTACTACTACTAGTTCCCCTACGACCCCGTTCCATTCTGCGTGCGGGGGTTTCTCAAAAACGGGGGGGCCCTCAGGGACCTAGGGCGTCAACGGGGATTATTGGAGATGGAGATTGTAGAGCTGCTCCTCGTGATTGGGGACTCAATCCGAAACCGAATGCCTATATACCAACCCCAGACCACCCAACCCCAATCAAGGGACACAGTGTTCCTTGCGAAGGCCGCCGCAAACGTCGCACGCGCTCCGGAAGCTGCGAAGCAGCCCCAACCGCCGCTTCTTGATTGGTTATGTAGGGATTATATGTAGCCTCCTTAAATGGGGGTTATGTAGGGTTTGGGGCTCAGGGGCTAGGGTTTAGGTTTATGTAGGGGTTCTCTGAGGGTTATGGGGAGTACAGAGGGTTTAATGGGGTATATAGAGGTTACATAGGGGGTATACAGGGGTTACATACGGGTCTAGGGTTGATGATGAGTTATACAGGGATGCTCGGGATTAGAGTTTGGGGCTTAAGGTTTAGGGTGTCCACAAAGTTTGGGGCACTTTCTCGGCGCCCTTATACTAAGAATCTTAGTATTTGGGGTCTAAAGTGAAGTCAATTCATTTACGGAAACTACCATATATAACTTAGCATGATAGAAAAATGGAAGCTACTATTTATGATTTAGGGTTGGGGGCTGATTAGGGTTTATGGTGTAGGAATCGGGGCTTAGGGCTCTAGGGATAAACTTATGGGTTTTATTGTTAAGTGGTTTGTGATGAGGGTCTGGGGTTCAGGGTGTATCATCTAGGGGGGCTTACAATTACAACAACCCCCCAGTAGTAGTAAGCTTAGGCGATCTGGCTTTCGCCAGTTTGGGGCCAGACTGAAATTCAAGCTGCACACCCTAAAGCCTAAACATTTTTATCAATTCCACATTTCCTGATTGGCAAGACGATAATCTGGAAACATAGCCGAGGCACAATTCCCGGGCTCCACATTGATGGAGCATCCACTCTGAACGCTAAACTCGAAATCCTAAAGCCCTAAACCCTAAACCCCAAGTCCTAAACCCTTAACCTCGGAAACCCTAAACCCTGAAATGTGCAGGTTCAAGCTGAAGTCGCCGAAGGATGACACGAAAGCGCCCATCACCGTCCCGGTGGGCTGTCACTGCAGAGATTTCCAACAGCTTGGTCCTTTTCTGTGTACCCTAAATGTTAGGAGCTGCAATATGTTCGGGACCCAAAAGGGACCATAATTTTGACCACCTCATATATCCTATTATGGCCATGGGAGCGAGCTAGAAGCTGCTGCAATTTGGGTTTAGGGTTGGAGGCTTTGATGGATTCGGGTGTTTGCAGCAGGGCTGAGTTTGGAAGGTTCCAGAGCGGATTTGGGATGTTCTCAATGTACATTGAGGTTCTCAATGGCATCCTTATATGTAGCGTGTTCCAGAAATTGGGGGTCCCTCTCATAAAGGTCCTGATAATGCGGATTATATTCTACTCAAGTTATGAGAGGGGCCTCTAGTAGGGGGGACCCCCCAAATCCTGCAAGGGGTACATAGTGATGACTCCAACATTCTGGAGAGCCAAATTTTTGAAAGGTAGGCAGGCTAACTGCTGGCGCTTTCCTAAACCTGAACCCGGAATTGGAATTTCCAACTAGCCCTATAGCCATTGTCAACCTTGTGCAACCTAAATCACAAATCCGAAAAAACCCTACGCTTGGCAGGTGCCGCCTTCCTTGCGCCGTCCACAGCCACAGCAGCCTCTGCTGGCTTGACGGCTACGGTCTAGCGGTCAAAAAGAAAACCTGAACCTTCAGCTTTGCAGTTTAGGGCTTAGCGATAGCCCTGTTTCAGGTTAGAATCTGGGGTGTAGGGTTTTTAATTTGGGGAAGCTGCAGGCCGTCTCTAGGCTCTCTGACAGGACAGCAGTCTTGCCTTTTGAGGTTCAACGTTACTTTGGGGGCGGGTAGCTTGCGCCAGGTCTGTATATCCCTATGATATCCTCAAAAAGATGAAATGCAGTTTGCATTTGGTTTTCCATCATCCCTGTATGAGTTGCCAGCACTAGCAACGTTTCGGAGAGCCAGCCCGTGCCCCTTGGTTGTTTGGGCTTGAGAATTTGTTAGAAGACTTTTAAGCCTCATCTGCTCCACGTAAGTATCCCCTCAGGCATTCAACCCCCCTCCCAGATTTAGAATCCTATCAGGCCGCCTTATTCGGCTTTCTATTGTCCTTATTAGCTCCTCAAACCATGAAAGGTGCTTTGGTTGGGAGGGTATGTTAATCCCTTAAAGCCCTCAGCCCCGAAACTTAAGTCCCAGACATCTTGGTCTTGGAGCCGTAGCAGCTGTGAAGCCCCTGTGCCCATCATGGCTGTGCAGTCGAGATGCAGGCGTCGGGGCAATTTCCGAGAAAGGGGTTTAGAATTTAGGGTTTAGGGGGTTCAGGGTTGAAGGTTGGAAAACGGCTCAACATGGTTCTGAATGCGTTTGGTTGTTGCTATTGATCTGAGTTTCAATGTGGATTGGTTTGCTGGTCAGCTTGGCGGGAAGCGTGCAGCTACACTTTTGGTAAGCTCGCCCACCTTTTACGGGAAACCAGCCACGACCCTGTAGGATTTGGGACCCTGCCATGTTAGCTCAGGGTTTAGGCTTAGGAGACCTTTTCAGGGATCAGCTTCATGCAGGGCTTTTGATTTAGGTTGACTGCAGCGTGCCTATGTTGTTCAAGCACGTTTGGAGATGGACCAGCTGCTTTGTCGAACTGTGCTTCAGGGTTTCTGGATCCGTGTTCAGAATGGGCCTCAAGCTGTTGAAGGGGCCTCTGGCATCAACGATTGAAGATTCGTCCTTTGGGACCAAGCGTAGGTGTTTTTCGCATAGCGGTCAGAGCTCCAGACTGCGGTACCCTTGACAGAGGCCGCTCTGTCCTGTAGTGCCCGGCCTCAGACTTTGCAATGGCACTCTTGAATTTGCCTTAGCCAATCAGAGCCCTCCTATCTGAAGGTTCTTCATCCTACTAACATCTCTATGTGATCTGTATGGGAACTATAGGATCCAAAGGATGGTTCTGGTTGGTTATGGAACGTTGCCAAAACTTGAAAACGCAAGGATACCATTGGCACTCCTCAAGCCAGTTTGCAAGCGTAATCATCCACACTTCTCCGGCCACCTTCGGATAGGCTACGTGGTTCAGCAATTTGAGGCGAACTTAAAAGCGCTTGTCAGATTGGTTTGTCGGATTTGGGATTCAGGATATTGGATCAGGGTCCAGGTACGTGCGGGTGTATCTAAGGACTTGGGAGATTCAGGACCAGGGCTACAGGTTTTAAAGGTTCCGGGGTTTTGGGAGTCAGTTACCGTCCTGTGAGGAGTGTCGGCCGATGAGGTGCTGCGCACCATGGTCATGAAGGGATTGTAAGTGTCACAGTTGCCTTGGCATCTTTGATCATCTTGTTGAGCCCTTTCCTGGTGGGTCAAAACTTTGTGCCATGCCGACTGTCATCTCACGATGCTAGGTGTCGGCAACGTAAGCTGTTGCGCAGCTAAAGTTGCACATGGTATGCTGGAAGCCACAGGCGGTTGAAGCATAGAGCTTCCACTACGACGGGACTGACGTCGGGATAGTTGCGCCAAGATTCTCATGAAAAGGATACAGGCTCAACGTATGCCGCAACTGTGTAAATCAACAGTTCATGTATCCATCAGGCCATGGCACGGCGCGCGCAATGGTTCGCACGGCGCTGAGCGCAGCAGGGCTCTGGAAGTTTTCAGTTTTGATATGTTTTGATTGCAACCCCTGCCATTTAATGGATGGCCGTCTGCTTGAGCAGAGGCTGTATGTGATACATTCCCTTTCAGCCTCGCAGCTTGATTTGGGACAGAGTGATCGGATAAGGACTATAGTGACTAGTGCCTTGAGGTGCATGAGCAAGGCGTACTCTGGTCGAAGTCGGGTAGACACTGAGCTCCTTTGGATGTCAAATGCTGAAGCCTGTATCACAGATCCATTGACGCAGACATGGGGCTGTTTGGGGCTGTATGAATTCTGAAGTGTTTGGCTCCACCCCTATTCCAAGCAAAGGTAAGTCTCGTGAGATCCGCGAGTTGCGCGATGTTTGGCGGCCTCCTCCCGAACTCGAGAACCTTGGCCAGGCTCAGGGCACGCTTCAACATGCCCGTTAATACCGAAGTCAACATACCCGTTCATCCCGAAGCCAACTTGAATTTCTTCTGCTGCTCACCCGCTCTCAGCATGTGCTTTGGCACGACTCCATTGACTGCAGCAGGTGGCACGACTTCAGCAGGTGGCAAGACTTTGTAAGTTGGCACGACTTCAGCAGTTGGCACGACTTCAGCAGCCAAGAACGCAGCCAAGAACGCCCCAGCTTTCCTGCGCCAGGATCCGTGTGGTCAGAAAGCGTCATGGGGCAGATGGCAGAGGGCAGCTTCTTGGATTCTTCTCGTACTACAATTTACCGGTGAGCTGCTGCGGAACAGATCTTGGGAAGGCCGATGTGTTCGACTTTGTGCCGGTGGGCGACAAGTACGCAGTGAAAGTCAACGGAAGGTACTTGAAGAATACAAAGAAGGGCTGGGTCTTGTGCGACAATGAGAACGAGAAGACCTACGTCCTCTTGTACACTTACAACACCAATCATGATCACACAGACGAGCTGGTTCAAGTCACATCCAAGACTAGGAAGATAGACTTTAACCGAGGCCATTTGATCAAGAACGTCAGCGGTGAGAAGGCTGGACATTTCATGAAAATCAACGATGAGAAAGAGGTTGCTTGGACGGATAAAGGGGCCTCAAAAATCGAGGAAGGGTTTTGGTTCGAAGAACCGTGACCCCATGGAGCCCCCGGCTTTGAAATTTTCACGTGTCTGCAAACATGCAGGCTGTCTTGTTGCCGCGCCTCGGGCCATCAGAAAGTAGGGCCCCAACAGGCCACACAACTGTTAACACGGTTCATGTTGCGGTTCTGGGGCACCACAACAGGGGATTCGGGAACGTCGGTTTTTTTTGAGGATCCTGATGTTTTGTGTGGTCTTTCGGGCCGCTACCATGCACAGGCCGGTCGGCTGGTCCCTGAGGTGTGCAGGCGGTTTAATAAAGCTCGGAGCCGAAAGTCAATAGTGACTGAGTACGCACCACATACTGAGTACGCACGACATGGGAAAAAGAGCAGTTGAGGAGGCGTGGGCTCCACAAGAGGGGTTGCGACATAAGAGTACTTGCGGCTCTACAACCAAGGGCATACGC